TCTAATTGCACCTAATTTCTTCAGTTCTTCTTTAGGGTTTTTTGAGGATTCTGCTTTGAACATGCAATGATCGGCAGTCTTCAAGTTTTTATCTCCCTTCATTGGAGAAGCAGGGAGTAGAGACATCTCTCTTGGATTAGATCCAAAGCAAAGACGACCTAGAAAGTTCTCTCGACTTCTCTTCGATGTTGCCGTAGAAGCCAAGGAATATGAATTATTCTTCTTCGTCGGAGATGTAGAATCGTACGTGAGAGGCATTGGAGACGTTGCCTTGGAAGCCAAGGAGATGTCCTCGCTAAGGGTTTTTGAGGACTCTGCGTCGAAGGAGCAATGATTTGTCTCTGAGTTTTGATCTGTCTTCATTGCAGAAGCAGGGAAGAGAGACAGGGAGTTTTCGTAGACTCCCATTATACACTGATCAATCCCACTTGTCTTCTTTGGTACCGGAAGTCTTGTTCCGAACAGGTAAAAAGCTTCTGGTTCGTTCTTCTTACTCGGAGATATAGAAACGTCGTGGAGAGGTATCGAAGTTACCTTCGACGGCAATCCCAAGGAAAGGTAAGAGGATTCTTGAGCCATAACTCGTTCTAAGAGCGTATGAGAGCAAATTACTTTTAGAGAGAGAATCAAAAGAAGAGATATGAGAAAGTGATTGAATGTTTAGACTCGTATCGTATATATAGATGTTGATACATGAACCTAAACTAGTTTAACTTAGGAGTGTGCAGGTCCTTTGTCGGAATGGAAATGTATTTGTTGTACCAGATAAGGAAGAGTAAATAATTGAGTTATTGAAAGTAATTAGAGATTAATATTATCTTGCATGGCAAAGTATATTTGTTTTATTTTTCAAACAAAAAAAAAGTATATTGTTTTTGACGGCTTATAGCTTTTACATGGGGATTTCTCTAAATTTATAATATACTTACATTTATTCCTCCTTTTCTTTTTTAATAAAATTAATGAGATGATTATTACACAAGAAAACGGAATATCCGATTTTTACGTAAAATCATGTGTTTATCCGAACTACAAAAGTATCCACACAAATATTTTCAGATATTTTAAAAAGAAAAGATTTAATGTTATTTAGTATGGTGTTTCATATGTTTATTAAGAATATAAATTAGAATTTATAAATCTACATTAACATGAATTTTTCTATTAACATGTAGATTTAGTGTTACTTTAGAAA